TAACTATGTATTGTAGTGTGCATTAGGAAGAAGAGTCATGAGCACATGTCATGCATGCTGTTATGGGTATTAGTGCTTAGGGAGAGGCTAAAACGAACTTGAAAAGTACAATTGATTTTAGGGCAAAAACTTTAAGCAAGTTGATTCATTTCTTCAACAAATATTTGTGCCAGGAGATGTTTCAATGTTGAAGAGTCAACCATTAGCAAGACCAAGTCCTGATTCTTAGGTAGCGTATGTTCTTCAAAGGGAACCAATAAAACAAATGTCTCAGGAAACGGTGCGTGAGTACCATGTGACGGAATGGGAAGGGGACAAAGCTTTTCTCCGCTGGGGTCACACTCTAGGTCAGGAGGGAAAAAGTGTATGTGCGTGTTGTTGAGGAGAGAGAAATGCTCAGATGAAAAATAAAGATGGTCTGCCCAAGGTCTGAGCAGGTGGTTTCTAGGTAGAGAGCTGACTCATGGGCGAGGGTGTCCATGGGGGGTGCTGAGTCAGAGGTGGGGCTCTCGGGCTGAGGGTTTTGATGTCCCAGAGCGACTTTTATGCACAAAGACGAATGTCTCAAATTATCTTTTGTGTTTGTTCCCTTGTGAGAATTAACCTTATAAATTATAATGATTCTCAAGCTTTGCTAAATATCCCAACATTCACTGACTTAGCTTTGCCTTTCAACTTAAGTTCATCAATCGAAAATCAGTTACGGGACATTTTCATTGGAATTCTAAGTCTGATTCTCCCCGAACACACAGAAGGTGCCTGCCACGTACTCCCTTTCCCGTCCACGGGGTTGAAGCGATCACTGTTTTGCTAGGACCTTGTCTCCCAGGCCGTCTGGGTGTCTGCCGTCGCTTTGGTAGGGGAAAGAAATGTTAGTCCCCTTCACCGTGGTTACTTTATTTCCCAGAGAAAAGACTAACTTTCAATAGGATGGAAGAAAGAACCCAGGCAAAGCTTTAATGGTCCTTTTTTTCTCATTTACATTTCTAGCAGCCACTCAGTTTTGACTCTTCGGTTATGACATCAAATAAAAAACCAAAAGACACAGGAAGGATGATTTGTATAAGCCTCGGTCTCCAGTTCAAGGTAGCACATAAAAATCAATATCAGTGATTTGTCTGACAGCTGCAGGTAAGACGCTGCTCTCTGAGGGTCCAGGAGATGACTCACTGGTGTCTAAGAGCCCCTTAAACAGCCTCAGGACGTTCGGGGTCCTGTGTTCCACCTCTCTTCTGCTAGCGCTGGCCTCAGTCGGCTACTTCGGAGTGATGCAGTCAGAGTTCTCCTGGAACTTCCTGCTGGCAACTCCCTGGAGGACCACATGAATACCTGGCCCAGGGTGGACAAGCATCAGGTCCTGGAGTGCAGCTCGGCAGATTCGCAGGCTGGTTCCTGCCATTTGCTAATTGACTGTCCACCTGCTGCTAAAGCTGCTCAATCATCCCGCGATCCCATAACGCCAGCCCTGCCTCCCTCTGCCATCCCTCCCACCCTCCTCTGCTGTTGGTTTTCCGCTTGTACTGATCCCATAGACACTCCAATATGCACATATTTACCTTACAGGTCTGGACGACCGCATATTATTATTTGTAGTTCTGCATTTCCCATGTTTTCAAAATCTTTAAAGCCCAGGAAAGAAAGCCATGAAATAATGGCTGAGCCTTGTCCAGGGCTCCTCATTACAGGGGATTGTTGGCGTCTGAATCAGAAAACACTATTATATCGGGCCATTGCAGACAGTGCCTGGCTTTAGCATCTCTGCCACCGAATGCCAGTGGGACCCGGAACCACTGTGACAATCTCAAACATCCCACACGTGGCAAATGTAGATAGCTTCTTGATGGAAATCCTACTGAACTTGCATGCAGCACTGGAGCATTTTAACAGCATTTAAGACTCATCTTGCTTATAGGTTTAATTTATTAGATCTAGTAGATAAAAAACAAATTAAGATCATAGGAAGATTTGCATATCGTCAGACAACTGCGGTTCTTAAAAAGAAATTGTTGATATTAAAAAATATAGTTTAAAGTGCTTACTTAAATTTGTAAATGAGACAACCATTAATTAAAAAGGCCAGTAAAAGTGATCTTTTAAAAATTTGCTTTAGTTCGGGATGCATAGTGAAGTCTTTACAGGTGAAATGAAATTCTCATTAAGATACCCCACAGGTTAAAATGAAAGCTTGAGGAGGCTACCTGAAATTAAATAGCAATTGTTGAAGCCAGGTGATGGATATATAGCACTTATATACTAGTTTCTCTAATTTTAGCATGTTTACAATTCCCAAAGAAAAAAGTTTAAAGAAAGTGATTGTTAAATTTTTTCTAAAGACCTTCAGTTTGTGGGGCCCTCCCTCTTCACTTCTACCTATCACCTTCCCGCGGGTAGGGACACAGTTCTTTTACACATGACGTGGGAGGGCTCCTGGCTGCTCTTTGTGGTTTTGTGTGATTCTGGGGTCACAGTTCAGAGGTCTTTGTGGTGACAGGATTCGTGACGTTTTGTACTTTAAACCACACTGCCTCTAAGAAGCTATCTTAGCAATGGGTTATCTTTTTCATAAGTGTTCTTTTCTAGCCATGTTGTAGAACCTTTGAAGGCAGGATTTAAGACGACAAAAGTTCTCAACAGCCCCAGCCCCAGCATAACCACACATAGGCTGGGGTTATGGGTGAATATTTATGGTGTTTACTTTATCTATCTCTGTGTTTACCTACAGGTACATTTTTTCTTACGTTATTTTTTTCCTACATGCTGCATACATGCTAGTTAATGATGCGATGCATGCTACCTTAGGCATAAGGTGGTGTTTAAGGATTTAGGCTCAGGAGTTTAACTCCCTGTGCGATTTTGTGCAAATTGCTTAGCCTTTCTAATCCTCGGTTTCCTCATCTGTAAAATGGGTGAGATTACAATAGTACTGACCTCATAGTGTTGCAGTGAGGATGAATTAATGTGTGGGGAAAAAACATAAGTGCTCTACTATAAATATTAGCTCTTGTTTTTAGTCAAGAATTTATTTGTAATATCTCTCTTAAGAACAATTCAATCTCTTTCATTCTGAATGTGGAGCTTTTATTTGAAAATATAGTTCTTAACATAATAGTATCCTATTAAAATATTTTGTTCTGGAATTTTGAGGTAACTTTTTGTCATGGTGTTTGTATTTTTGGTACACACAATTATCTTACTCATCTTCTCATACCCACAGATTAGCTGGAATCTCCTGGACTGTATGTTTGGTCATTTATTTATTTTTAAAATTGATTTTAGAGAGAGGGAGAGGAGGAGGGGGAGAGAGAGAGCGAGAGAAACATAGATTTGTTGTTCCACTTATTTTTTTTAACTTACAATCTTTTTTTAATAAGTATTTTTTTAATTTATTTTTTCAAATACATTTGTCTCTGCCTTCCCCCCACCACTTTCCCTTGCCCCTCCTGCCCCTCAATCCTTCCCCTTTGGTTTTGTCCAGGAGTCCTTGCTCTATGTTCCTTGACTTTCCCCTTCTCTTCCTTTTCCCCCTGCCTCCCCCTCCCCCCTTCCCTCTTGTCTCTGTTGGTTTCTTTACCTTTCAGAGTTGTTGGTCTTATTTTCCTTGCATCTTTGTATTGTTGGTTAGGGTCCGCTTATAGGTGAGATCATACGGTATTTGTCTTTTACCCCCTGGCTTATTTATGCATTCAATGACTGACTCTTGTATAAGCTCTGACTGGGGATCGCATCTGCAGCCTTGGCATTTTTGGGCTGATGCTCTGTCTCACTAGCTGAGCTACCCAGCCAGAGCCCTCCTGGTCCCTTCTGAAGCACCCAAGGAAGGGGAGGCTTGCAAACAAGTGCCCAACTTGTGTGACAGGGAATTGAGGCTCAGGCAAATCATCTCTCTTGCAATATCATTGATATATTTTTTCAAATCTCAGATTCAAATGCTAATAACAGTCTTTCAATCTAATAATTCAGAAAGAAAGGTTTTTACATATATCCTAGCAAGATGGAAAATGTTACAGTATGATTATAGTTGTGTAAAAAATACCTGTACATAATGATTTCTGTTAGGAATTATCTCCAAAGTATTAATAAATCTGTCACCCAAATAACAGAACTAAGAGCAACTTTTTTTTCCTTTCTATTTTACATCTTGTGTTTTCCAATTTTTTTTCATTTAAACTTTGTCATTCCATTTTAGAATAAAAAACATACTGGCATGTTGTTTTTCAAACTTGTCTCTCTTGAGGGCTCTGTTTTCAAAGTTAAAAAAAATTGGAAATTTTTAAAGGTTTTTGGCTACACAGGTATTCCACTAGGTTTCAGTCTTCACTTCCTCATCTCACGTGTATAGTTATAGGACTGGTCAACAAAATCAGTACAGAGGGTTTGCTTCACAGAGAAATTACTGAGTTGGATTTGTCATTCAAATAAGGATTAGTATTAATACACTAATATGCTTAACATTATGTGTCTTGATCTCTTTCTCTTTAAAACGGGGGGAAAGTGTATGGAATGAATGTAGCGAGTTTCTTCTAGCTCTAAACTATTATAAATTAAAAAAAAATTAATACCTAGAAATTTCCCTAATGCTTTTTTTAGGAGGCACCGGGATGACCTAGGGAAGGGGCCCTCGTCCCGCGACAGGCAGAGCGCTGCAGGCCCTGTTTGCCCTGTGCCAGAGGGGAGCTCTCCAGCCGGGCAGCGGCCTCAGTCTCAGCTTCTGACGTGTCTGGCTAGTATTTCAAAATAAATAGCAGACCTAATGCTGAAGAAAAGCCTGTCTTTGCAGTAAAGATCCTTGCAAAGTAATTGGTTTTGAACTATGATTCTCAATTGCTGTGGCCGTTGCTAGTTGCAAAGCCAAGGTAGAAGGCGGAGCTGGTGGGAGATGGTGGGAGCCCAGGGCTGCTGCCTTCGAGGGGCGGGCACCAGTCGACTCCAGCAACTCACGGGTGGTGCGTGGTCGTTTGGGCGTAAAGTATGTTATAAGGTGCCTTCCTTGTTTTACTCAGGTTACACCGGAGAGCTTTGCCAGTCCAAGATTGATTATTGCCTCCTAGACCCGTGCAGAAATGGAGCGACATGCATTTCCAGTCTCAGCGGATTCACCTGCCAGTGTCTAGAAGGTAAATGTTATGGCCCCAGGAAGGAATATCTTTTGTTTTCCATTTTCCATCGTAAACTAATTTGATCAGCTTTGTACTTGAAATTTCTGAAAAATACTACACAAGAGAACTGCCAATTTTATTCCATTTATAACACAAAATAGAAGGTAGCTTTTTTTTTTTTTAACTCTGTGATAGAAGGGCTTCAAGTGATGTTGGAATATTGGGGATAATCTAGGAGCCTCTGTGATTTTTATTGTTATATTGAAAACCAATAACTATAATAAAATAGAATTTCTTTCTAATGGTGAAGTGCGCTTGTTAAGATTCCTATTTTGTTAAATTGTTTGGTTTTTGATACCAGTTCACATAAAAAAGTTCTCAGCCTAAAGTCTACCTGCTTTTGTGTTTAAATCAATTTTAAAATGTCTCAGAAATTTCAAGTCACCAAGAAAACCGCATCTTTAGAGCTATGATTTAAAAAAATTTTTCTTATAAGAGCTTATTTGAGCCAAACTGAAGGCAATGGCTGGGAATGTTCCCTCTTCAGAGCTACTTTTGTTTGTAAAAATAGTTGTACATTCGAGAAGTTTCCTCTGCAGAAGCAGGCAGATAATCACAGCTATCAAGCTGGCGTTCAAGGAATGATTTTCTACTTCGAGGAAGTTTTTTTCTACTTCTGCTTGGAGGGAGTTTACGGAAGGAATGACTTTACACCTTTGATATTGCAAGAATAACATGATATTAGATGCATTGCTTTCCTTAAACCAGCCTGTAAGCTCCTGACCCACGGAAGTGACACTACCAACTGCAGAGTAGAATGACATCCTCTGCAGAGGATAAATGTCAGGTGTGAGTGCGGAAGGAAACTTCTCTGTCCCCAAAATTACCCTGAGCTGCCCCTGGCTGTGAGGCTGGACAAGGGCCAGTGATCCCACCTGGGCGTTGATAAAAGGCCACTGACCACCCGGTAGGCTGAGGGCTCAGGGTTGGTCGCGACCGCACCTGCAATCGGCCGTGTCTCATTCTCCTTAATCTCTAGAAGACCTGAGCATCGTCTAAAGACATGAATCCTGGCTCCTGCTCACCTGGGCAGGGGCAGCAGCTGGGTGGCTGCAGCGGGCGTCCTTGCCGCTCTCGTGATGAGCGCGGTCACCATGGGGATGGAGATGAACATGGTGGATGAGCCCCACTCCTCACCCTCCCCTGGAGTCTCAGAAACAAATGGGAAAAGTTGGAAATGTTGGGGTTATCACTCTTCTACAGGACACTTCTGAGTTCTGCCCAGCTTTGCCGCACCCATGGTTAGAGAGTTGCCGCCAAACTCTGGTTGTAGGCTATGCCCACAGCGAGGGTGGGCCTCAGGGTCACCAGGTGATTGACTGCTGGAAAATCGTTAATTCCTCCTTCCTACCCAGTTCTGTCTGTTTTCCGTAAGTGTGGGCGGTGATGATACTGCTTCCTTCACAGGGCCATTTGGAAATTGCATGGGATTTTTGTGAAAGGACTTCGAAAATGACAGCGTGCTTTGTTATTATTGCTTTGACTGCTACCAGAAAGGAGCTCAATAACTATTAGCTGCTTTATCGTTATCGTTTTTCTAATAATTATTACTGTCAAGCCATGGGTGAATTTTAATGGGGATTTGAAAATTTTGTGGTGGAACTGTGTGGGTTGGAGGGAGACCAGGGCAGGAATAAGGAGAAAAGTTCAGGGCTCCCACAGAAGTTCAGGAGGGGAGGTGGTGAAGGGCAGAATTTGAGCAGAGAAGCTGGCAGGTTTGAGAGAACTTGGGTGGTTAAATGGGGGCGGTCAGGAGATGGATGGGATTGGGAGGACAAGGCAAAGTGAGGTGGCTAGTGTGTGGCCTCTGTCACTCTACTGTTGCTGTGCCATTTCTGGAGAGAAAGAAACCAGTGGGCGGGGGGGAGCGGGGAGTGTTCTATTTTGGATGCGCTGAGTCCGAGGAGCCCGTGTGCACCCAAGTGGAGAAGACCTGCAGGCAGCTGCTGGGTGAGCCTGGGCCCAGTCTAAACACGGAGACATGAGTCCATAGCTTGTATTTGAAATCCAGGTGTCCCTGGCATTGTCCAGGGGCCTTCTCTAAGGGTGTCACACTGTCTAGAGAAGGATGGAGAACATGCAATGATCCAGAACTGCAAGAAGCAAGACATGTTTCCCAGCCCCATTTGTGGGAAGACTTCCTCTCAAGGTTTCCCTTCACTGAAGACCGGCCAGGGTAAAGGAGACTTATTATCGTTCTGAAGGATTCATTGCAATGTTTGGAAGCCTCTTAGCAGGATCACATAACTGGTGACAATTTTCTTTAAGTTTATTTTATTGTTGACATTATTCCATATGTCCTCATTCCCCCCTTCCTTCGCTAACTGCACCCCCTTCTGCCTGGCCATAGTCTGGGTCTGTGGGTTATGTATATATGTCCTTTGGCCAATCTCTTGGTGACTAGTATTTTTTTTAAAGGTTTGATTTATTTCTATTTAGAGAGAGGGGAAGTGAGGGAGAGAAACATCAAGATGCCAGAGAAACATCAAATGGTTGCCTCTCACATGCCCCCAACAGGGGACCTGGCCTGCAACCCGGGCATGTGCCTTGCCTGGTGACCTTTCGGTTTGCAGGACGATGCCCGTCCCACTGAGCCACACCAGTCAGGGCATGACTAGTATTTTTAAAGCAGCCCCTTCCACTGTCCTGTTCTTTGGGTGGTTGTTGTAGGAACTATTTATAGAGCACTTTGCACTTTAGAAAGAGCCAGTGTCTCTAGGATCATTCTTATATCAGCCACACTGTGAAAACGCATTTGAAAAGTGTCTCAAGTTCACGTAATGTTCTGGAGTTCTGAGCCAGCACTTGGCCTTTGTTGCCCTCTTTCTTTCTTGTATTTTCCCCAGTGATTAACATTTTGGCATGTGTTCTTTATATGTACATATTTACATATATAGTTGTTTTTTGCAAAATAATTTTTAACTAAATTACATATATTTTGACACTTCACCCCAAAATAAGTTAGTGATTTCTGACAATAAGGATATTATCACACCTAGGAAAATTATTGATACATATTTCCTAATATTATTTATTATCTGCCCCCTTTTTCATTTTCTTCTTTATTTGTTTGTGTTGACTGTCTGCCCTACTTCTCTGTGTTATTCTTTGAGGGCAGAGAATGAATTTTATTTATCTTCTGTCTCTCGCCCGCCCCCTCATACTCTACCCATGGAGCATGTTGCTCCAGATTTTGTATTCATAGGAGCTTAATAAATATTTATTAAATAAACTAATTACAAAAGTCAACAGATATTACTCCCTATGTCTACCAATTTCTTTGACCCTCAGAATAACTCTATGAAACAGATATTATTAATATTTCCACTTAACACATTGAGAAACTGAGGCACATGAGGATTAAACAACTTGGCCTGAGATCACATACCTAGAAATTTGAACCCAGACAACGTGGCAGTAGCATTTCTAACCATTGTCCAGTACCATCTCTGGATATATTCTTTAAAATAAAGAATTCTATTTTGTGTATTTTTTTTAAAAAGATTATCTTTGTAGCAATAAAGATAAAAGATTATCATATAGCCATTCATGAGTAGAAGAAATGCAACATTTGTTGGCTTCTAAAACTTTTTAAGTCTGGGAAAAGCTAGAAATATTTTTTTCTTTTTCTTTTTTTTGTAAGTATAGTGAAATCCTTTTATAACCATTCCTCCCAGTCCAGAAAGCAGTTAGAACTGGGTTTTCCCTCTGGATGGTGCTTTCAACACTACGCCGCCATAGCCTGCCCTTTCGCAGCCTTCTCATGTTCATCCTCTTGCCTTCAAGGATCCTTTTCCACCTGACCTGGGCCACGTTCATAGAGGCCGAGTTCCTTCCTGGGTCCCTGCCTCTTTGACTCATGTGTGTTTGTTTCTTTTAACCTCTTCCAAAAGTTCAAAGTCAGGCAGGCCCCAGAGACAGCTTGTGCAGTGACGATCATTTCCTCTCTCCTTTTGGGAGGTGTGTGTTCTACACTTTCATTTTTATCTGTCATCAAAGCTTCTGTCTTTTCTTTGAATTTCTACTTAACTTGCAGTAGGTCCATATTTGAAAAGCGTGAGTACAGATTGTGAGTACAGTGGGGGTGATAAGAAATGAAAATAATAGTGTCATGAGTGTTTTCTTATATTTACCTTACTGAATGATAACAACAAAAATAATTAAAAGCCAGTTTTATTGCTTCATTATTTACTCTTTGCCTTGATATTGTCTTTGTGTTTGATTTAGAACTTTGAGGTCCTTAAATTTTTCAATTAAATGTATTTTAATTATGAAGATGTTTAATTTTATATACTCAGTATTATTGCCTAGTGTATTTACACATGAATATATTTAAATAAGTATATAAATAAAATCTAAATATTACTATCTAGCCATCATCTTTGCTTCAACATCTCAATTTTTATTCCCCTACCCCAACCTGGGAATTTGAAGCACAGTATCATAAATTAATAAGGAATAAAAAGAAATCAATAGGGATTAAAACATTTGTCATTTCTGCACTTGTGGCCACTCACATGACACAGGGCATGTCTCATGTACTCTAACCACCTTCCTGAAATCCACCTGCTGTAGAAGGCATGTGGGGCAAGACTATGAGGCTTCCGGCAACATCTCTCCAATGTGCTTCAAAAGCATGAATGTGAAGACATTTTCTAGTGCCAGCCTTCTTCTGATTTCTGATTCCGATATTTCATTGTTGGTGTACAAAATTGCCTTCGATTTCTGAATATTAACTTTGTATCCCGCTGTTTTGCCAAATTCGCTTATTAGGTCGAGGGGTTTTTTTTGTGGAGTCTGTAGGGTTTTATATGTATACTTTCATGTCATCTGCAAACAATGACAGTTTTACTTCCTCCTTTCCAGTGTGGATGCCTTTTCTAGTGCTAACCCTCTGATAGGATTATAGATGCACAGAATTTGTATTAACTGCTCTTGCGTAATAGCTAGGAAGACAA